CTAACGTCGGGGCTGAGGAGTAGTGTTTTCCTGGCCTGTATGAGCCTCTGGGTTTGTTCCCAAGAATGCGTAAGCGGGAGAAAACAACACCCACTGCTGAAATCTAAGAATAATAGTCTACAGACATATAATTTTCTCATTAAGTGACACTGGTTCCATGAATTTAAAATTTTATTACAAACTATAATATAATACAGCGAAGAATATAAACAGAAACATGCATTGTATTGGTTTAACATTCAGCATGTACTGGAAACTGCCTGTCAGGTCGTACCAACCCCATGGATGCCCACCTGACTGCTCTTTCCCAAACACAGCTCCCCCTCCCCAAAGTAACGACTGTTCTAACATTAATTATGCTTGCTTCCTCTTTTCTTTACATACTTATTCTGTACTTTTATTGCTGGTGTTACAAATGAATTAAGATCAGGTCTCCCCTCTATTCTCTCTACTCCAGTTCTCCTATTCCTCACATCTTGGTTCCCTCCTAATTTCATGGGTTCTTATTTGTTTGTTATTTTTTAAACCACAGAGTCCACTTAATGCTGCCAGTATGTACCCGGGTGTAGGGCCATCTACTAGAACATAAGTAGCCTCTTCGGGGCTACATCCTTAAAGAAAACTCCCTTCTCTCCCTCTCCCAGCAGTCATCGGCTGCCAATAGCTCCTAGCTAGAGGTGGGACTTCATGACTTCCTACCCGGTGCGTGCCGGCTGGGGTTTTGTTTGCCTTGCACAGTTGCTGACTTCATATGTGTGATCGCCCTGTGGTGTTTGAAATCCATCACTTTGGTGTAGTCATCATCACCTCTGGCTCTTACTGTCTTTCCACTTCCTCTTTTGTGATGATCCATCCCTGGGCCTTGAGAGGAGGAGATGGGATATAGTGTCCCATTTAGGGCTAGGCATTCTGCATAGACTCTTATTTTTTATTCTGTGGAATCATTTATATGAAATTATAATCATTTCTGTTTCAAACAATTAGATCTTTCTGATAAAGGTATCTAACCTGTAGTTTACTTTTTAAGAAGCTATGAACTATAAATTTCCTTTCATTAGTTTAATAATTACAATTGTTAAATACTTTACAATTGAAAATACTATTATTTTGGTGACAGAGCCTCATTATAGTCTAAGCTGGCCTCAAACTCATTATTTAGCAGAGGATGATTTTGAACTCCTAACCCTTCTGCCTCCAGCTCCCAAGTGCTGTGATTATAGTCTGTGCCCCCATGTCCAACTTACTGTGTTTTTTATTTTTTCTGTTACATCATGGTTCCTTTTATAATTAATTTTTTTTTGTCTACACACCAGATACTTTGTTTGGGAGGTTGTAAAATTAGGTTGAAACTTTGGATAATATTATATTCTTCCAGAAAATCTGTTTCACTCTTAGATGACTGCAAGAAGCACTAGCAAGCCAATATTACTTTAATCACTTTCTGTTTAAAGGATTACTGTTTTCTGGACCATCCAGATGACTTAAAACTACTCCTGGTTCCCCCTTCTTCCCGGGACTCAGTCATTCAGGGCCCCATCTAACCCTCAGTTTTAGACGCACTTGCTCTATTGACAAGCACTGTCACCCTTCCCTAGCTTTAGGAAACTGATGAAACGGCCAATGGCTTCTTATCCATCTCATCTTCCACATAAGGAAAACTCAACTGTGGCTTACTTGTCTGACTATCTGTCTTTGGGCTGAGGTCTGGTAATTCTTCATGCTTTGTTAATCTTTGTGTATTTAGTTTTACTAGTTTCAGCCTAGTTTTTCTAGGAAGGTTGATCAGAATTACCCAGTCTCATTGCTGGAAATACGTCTATAAATATTTTTAATAAAACCCTCCACTCTCTTGCTACAGAGGAGTTAAGAGAATGGATTCCACAATCAAACTGCTGGAGTTTGAATTCCAGCTCCACTGTCTCCTAGCTGTATGGTTTTGGATGAATTACTTCCTTTTGCTGTGCTTGAGTTTCCTGGTGCAAGCATGCAAGTTTGTGTGTGTGTGTGTGTGTGTGTGTGTGTGTGTGTGTGTGTGTGTGTGTGTGTGTGTGTGTGTGATGCAACCTATGCTGGCCATGTACTCACTGTATAACTGAGACTAGCCTCACATTTCCAGTCTTCCTGCCTGTTTCTCAAGTGCTGGGATGACAGACATGCACCATGATGCCTGGCAAAATTCCTCTTGCCTGAAGTGAAGATAATATCCCCTACTTCACAGAGTTGTGATGAAATGTAATAGTGCTGATTTAAAAGTATTTGAAAGAAAGAGTCTGACACATAGAAAATATTGCGAAAGTGATTTGTTAATACTGTTACTATCCATGGTACATTGTAATCTTACCTTTGTACAAGAAGATAAACAGCAGTTATTGGTCAGAATTACTTAAATATACCATTAAGATGTCTAAAATTTTTTATTTTCACTCAAAATAGCAGAATATAGACTGTCTGCTCCCAATGGTCGGGGACTTTTCTGTTTCTAAAACCATTTCATGCAAAATACATTCACAGTAGTAGCAATTAGTAATGTGTATTTGTTTTCAAAATTATTGGGGGCCATGTGGGTATTAGCAATGCTAGGCATTGCCCTAATTATAAATTTAAATTGTTGAATGCATAATATATTAACACCCAGATTGAGTCTGTGCTTGAAGATACATGGTACCTAAAAGGATGCACTTTTTTTCCCCTGAGAGAAGCCAACAAAGACTTAATTCATATATATATGGTATGAATTGACTGGAAGACTAAATATTGTTGCAATCACAATTTGACCTTTATCTGTCTATACATATGATATAATTCTTTTCAAGATCTGACCAGTTGTTTTTTTTTTTTTACAGAAATTGATACAGATATGCAAAAGACTTAGTATAGCAAAAAACCTCTGAGAAATAACAGTAAGATTGGAGAATTTACCATACCAAGGTTGTATACATTTTAAAGCTTTAGTAATTAATATTTATTGGCATAAATATAGAAATGTAGATCAGTGGAAGATAATAGACAGTCTTAAAACTAATGAACTGTTGCATTAAAATATGGGTGAAAGATTGGAAGTTATGTCACCAAAGCTTTGTGAGTAGTTGATAAACAGCGAGACTGTTCAGCATTCCAAACATAAACCGCAGCATGGTACTTCATCTCACAGGGGGTTTCCTCACTGATGCTGACAAGTGTGAAGAACCACATATGTTGCTTCTGGGGGTGTGAAATGGCACTTTTTTGGAAACAGTTGTGCAGTTAAATGTAGGTTGTTTTTTTTTTTTTTTTTTACTGTGAGACCCATCAATTCTGTTCCTGAGTATCCAGTCAAGAACAATGAAAACACATGCAAAGTTTTTGTGTGCAATT